ACCTTTATGAGCTCATTTGACTGTCTTGCAATTGGTTTTAAGTGCAGAGCTTATTTTATATTTTTTGGGTATTTTTCAGGATTTCAGTTTGCTGGTGTGGATTACATTATTGTGCCATTACATAACCAATCTGAGTTTGACTTTAGAGACATTATCTGATGACAAAAGAAATATGTCTTAGCATACACAGCATACAAATCCTCATATTATGATGTTCACTCTTTGAGTCAGCCACTCAGAAAATTTGGAGGCTGGATGTTTGTTGAATATTTTGTCCAAGCAGTTAAAGTTGGAGGACAGGCTGAATATTATGTACAACTATGACTGTGTGGATTTCTTTAAATGCAGCAAAGCAACACAACAGCCTCTACAGTTGCTATAAAGTCGTATCATAAATCTAAAAGTGAACATTATGTCCTTCATAAAACCTGGATTTATAGCAGGGCTATTGCTGCTTCTGGACCCACTATGATGGCAATTAAGCGTGTGTGTTTGTAAAGTTTTTTTTCATAATAAAACATAAGACCAGTCCTTTTAGCCCAAGTATTGCTTCATGTTGGGCTCAGGAATTCGAAGAAAGCCGACTAATGAAAATGACAGTAAAAAGTGACAAAGAGAAACAAAAATTAGAAGTGATTCTAAAAACAGGGTATAATTACAATAAAATTAAGGGATTGAAAAAAACAACAAAAAAACGAACATGAGAGAGAGATGCAAATTGAAAACACATGTATTTAACAAAACCAAAAAAGAACAAATACGTATAAAACTGTTGGAGAAGAGAGGTGCCGAAATGAAATCACCAACAATGACTTAAACGAGAAAATGGAACAGCAATAAAACCAACAAATCATGCTAAATGTTTTTGTGAAAAACACCTCAGAACTGCAAAGTACTTAAAAAAAAAAATGAATATTTTGAAGAAAGTGTGTTATGTACAGGGCTGCCGGTTTTGATTTGTCATCAGTAACAAGCATTTTGTTTGTCAAATAATGGCTTGTTCTGGTTTTATAGACGTAAATCAGGTAAAGCTGGGGATGGTACATGCTGTTCATGAATTAATATACAAATAAACACAATTCTGTGTCAAATTCTAGCTATATTTATTTCCAAAATGTAGCTTGGTCACTTTAAAAATTGTAGTGATCCTAATTTCGAGAGGTTTTGTTCGGCCTGTAAGGCAAGGCCCAAACCAAAATGATCGAATGATCAGATAATTCACAGCTACCATCAAATCATTGCAGTACTGGAAATGCTGTTTAAATCATGATGTTTCCATTATGTAGTTTTATTAGAATAAACTAATAATTTATTTTATTTAAAGCACCCTAAGACACCTTACAATAAATATATTTAGCTATACAAAAAATTAAAGACGAAGAAAAAAAAGTTTTTAGCCTTGATTTAAACGGAGGTAAACTATCAGTAACTGCATTTCCATCAGCTTTTCTAATTGAAGTATTGTATCGGAATAGCTTGATGGAATTGACAAAATGATTGCATTGACTCGAATGCAATCCCTCACACTAAGCATGCGTGTAGCAACAGTGGAGAGGAAAAACTCCCTTTTAACAGGAAGAAACCTCCAGCAGAACCAGGCTCAGTGTGAGCGGCCATCTGCTGAGGCCGACTGGGGTTCAAGGAGACAGAAGAAGAGACACAAAAAGCAGCTGTAAAAGGCGGCCCCATCCAGGAAACACAACCAGGACGACGAGCTCCGAGCCAGCTCCCATGTCAGAGGATGAAGAGAGTCAGTCACAGTCAGAGAAACAGGACTACACTGGAAAAACAGGCTGATCTGCAACATCTATCGACAAAAGGTGTTGATGACAGCAGCACAGATGATGTTTCTCTCCAGGATGGTGTCACAGCCAAACACGAACAGACGAGGCAAAGCTACTATGAGAAAAAGCAGAGAGAGCAGAACGTTAGAGATTGAACTAATAGATTCTGCAGAGTGGGAGAATAGCGATAGAATGAAGCAGAATGGTGAAATGGGGTCCCTAGGTCCTCCAGCAGTCTAAGCCTATAGCAGCATAACTATAGAGATAGCTCAGGATAACCTAATTGCATAATTGAATCAAAGAATAATATATCAAACATTAAAAATGGAAATAAAAAGTTCCCCACCCATCCATCCATCCATGTTTAAATCCATCCATCCATCAATCTGTCATCCATCCATCAATCCATCCATCCATCTTTAAATCCATCCATCCATCAATCTGTCATCCATCCATCAATCCATCCATCCTTTTTTAAATCCATCAATCTTTCATCCATCCATCATCCATCCATCCATCCATCCATGTTTAAATCCATCCATCCATCCATCCATCAATCTGTCATCCATCCATCCATCCATCCATCCATCTTTAAATCCATCAATCTTTCATCCATCCATCATCCATCCATCCATCCATCCATCCATCCATCCATCATCCATCCATCCATCCATCCATCCATCCATCCATCCATCTTTAAATCTTTAAATCCATCAATCTGTCATCCATCCATCCATCTGTCCTCCATCCATCCATCTGTCCTCCATCCATCCATCCATCCATCCATCCAGCCATCCATCATCCATCAATCTGTCATCCATCTATCTTTAAATCCATCAATCTTTCATCCATCCATCCATCCAATCATCCATCCATCCATCATCCATCCATCCATCCATCATCCATCCATCCATCCATCCATCCATCAATCTTTCTTCCATCCATCCATCCATCCATCCATTATCCATCCATCCATCAATCTGTCATCCATCCATCCATCATCCATCCATCCATCCATCCATCCATCATCCATCCATCCATCCATCCATCCATCCATCCATCAATCTTTCATCCATCCATTATCCATCCATCCATCCATCCATCCATCAATCTATCATCCATCCATCCATCCATCATCCATCCATCATCCATCCATCCATCCATCCATCCATCCATCCATCCAGCCATCCATCATCCATCAATCTGTCATCCATCCATCTTTAAATCCATCAATCTTTCATCCATCCATCCATCCATCCATCCATCCATCCATCTTTAAATCTTTAAATCCATCAATCTGTCCTCCATCCATCCATCTGTCCTCCATCCATCCATCCATCCATCCATCCATCCATCCATCCATCCATCCAGCCATCCATCATCCATCAATCTGTCATCCATCTATCTTTAAATCCATCAATCTGTCCTCCATCCATCCATCTGTCCTCCATCCATCCATCCATCCATCATCCATCCATCCATCCATCCATCATCCATCCATCCATCCATCCATCAATCTTTCATCCATCCATTATCCATCCATCCATCCATCCATCCATCAATCTGTCATCCATCCATCCATCCATCATCCATCCATCATCCATCCATCCATCCATCCATCCAGCCATCCATCATCCATCAATCTGTCATCCATCCATCTTTAAATCCATCAATCTTTCATCCATCCATCCATCCATCCATCCATCTTTAAATCTTTAAATCCATCAATCTGTCCTCCATCCATCCATCTGTCCTCCATCCATCCATCCATCCATCCATCCATCCATCCAGCCATCCATCATCCATCAATCTGTCATCCATCTATCTTTAAATCCATCAATCTTTCATCCATCCATCCATCCAATCATCCATCCATCCATCATCCATCCATCCATCCATCATCCATCCATCCATCCATCCATCAATCTTTCTTCCATCCATCCATCCATCCATCCATTATCCATCCATCCATCAATCTGTCATCCATCCATCCATCATCCATCCATCCATCCATCCATCATCCATCCATCATCCATCCATCCATCCATCCATCCATCCATCCATCCATCCATCCATCCATCCAGCCATCCATCATCCATCAATCTGTCATCCATCCATCTTTAAATCCATCAATCTGTCATCCATCCATCCATCCATCCATCCATCCATCCATCCATCCATCTTTAAATCCATCAATCTGTCATCCATCCATCCATCTGTCCTCCATCCATCCATCTGTCCTCCATCCATCCATCGATCCATCCATCCAATCTGATTTCGCAAAAAAAAATCGGAATTGAGCATCAACGCCTGCAATGTGAACGTAGCCTAAGAGAAAGCCCAGCCATCCTGCACAGGAAGCTCATTTCAGCCGCTTAGATCCGGGATCTCGATCTTTCGGTTCATGATCTAGATTTCATGACCATAGGTGAGAGAAGGTACATAGACTGACTGGTAAATCAAGAGCTTTGCCTTTCTGCTCAGCTCTCTGTTCTCCACGACGGACCATCGCAGCGTCTGCCTCACACTGCAGCAGTGGGAAGCTGTTGCTCTTTTAACTTTAGTCATTTTGACAAAATATCACTTTTCATTTGCTTGATCTGAGGTTTCCAGGGCTGTAATTGGCCCTTAATTTCACTTTATCTAAAATGATGAACTTTAGCAATTTTTGTTGTTTCATTTTTATTTTCTGTGGCCCCCCATGAAAAAAAAAAAAAAAAAAATCGCCCCTAAAACCGCCACTGCCCATAAATACAACTGAGGGGGCCGTTGTTGAAAACTGTCCCCGCCCTTGAAAAAGTCTGTGTACGCCAATGGTTTTAGAGTTACTGAAATTAACTTTGAAATCTTTAATTCTAATTCATAAGAAATGTACATGATTAAAAGAGTGGGTTTTTGCTTTTTTATTGTTAATCCTAAAATAGGTATGAGATTATTCCATTAGATTGGATTTGTCAATGAAATAATCTGTTATGTTATCACTGAAGAGCTCTATTTTTAATAGAGCTCTTCAGTGATAACAGGTTGGAAGCTGCTCCGCTCCCAGATGAGAGACCTTAAATTACCCGGTGACACTTGAACAGCATCAACATGTTATGAAACATGTAATGGGATTCTCATGGTCCCTTCTTTGTCGGAACGGTAGTCTGTGTCTGGGTTCTCAGGTTTCACTGCAGGGGCCTCCTTCTTCTTGAACGGGGCGGAGGAGGCGAGGAGTCAAAGTTCTCCTTTCTGTGCTCTCTTTCGGGGCCCCCGACACACGGGGTCAGAGCGGGACCGGATGGGCTCGTAGCGGACACCGGTTCGGACGTCAATGAGAGAAAGGGAGAGGGAGAGCGCGCGCCTGAGCGAGCGTTAATTAGAACAACCTGGTGAGGCAATTAGGCGCGAGGAGAGAAGAGCGGAGCGGAGCGGAGGGGGCACGCGGTGAGTGTTTGGCACCAACAAAACTCACTTCAGACTCGTCAGCTTCGTCTTCTGCTCAGGTTAAAGCTTCCTGCAGGTTTTAGGGTGTACAAAAAAACTTTTTACAGAGTTTTGCATTTTTTAGGTATTTCTTTTTTTGGACTCTCGCAAAGAGGTGAGTTATTTTCCAGCCTCAATGGAAAAACTGCATATTTTTTAAAAGCTTGCTAATTAATTGAATTGGGGTTCTAAAAAAAAAGAATTTCTGGCTACAAAGAATTATTTCACCAACTAATATCTTTAAGGTTTTCTTATAATCTTCTTTTTTTTTTTAGGTCTGTTTCTTTTTTCTCCCACATAACTTTGGCAGCAGTTTGTTTTCCTCCTGAAATCCCACAATTTCCAAAACATTTAAGTCTGACTCAGCAAAGTGTGTTCATGCTCTGTGGAGGTTCTTATTTTTAATTTTTTTCTTGGTGGCTTCTTTTGAAATCACAAGGATCTTTTAAAAAAAAAAGGCTCATTTCATGATGAGCTTTGTGGGTTTAAACCTCATGGCTGGCACCATGAGGGAAGTCATGATGGACATTTGGATTCCTGAGACTGCATGAAAGGGATTTTCAATCCCCCCCTCCTCCGTCTGCTCTGTGAACCCTAAGAATTCAGGCTTTCTGGTTTTGGTTAAGCAGGAATGTTAACTCGCCTTTTGCTTTGTCCAGATCTTTTTGCCCAAATTTCTCCTGCCCCCTTCCTTCAGCCTCCTTCCTGGAGCTGAGAAAAAGCCATTAAATCAGTGCCCACACCAGTAAACGAGCCACCGTTTTACAAAGAAATCTGGGTGGGAATTGCTGAATGACGAGCTGTTGCTGCCTTTCAGGAGGGTGGATGTCAAAGTTGAGTAATTTCAAGCAAAACCCTTTAAACTTTCAAAGCTTCCTTAAAAACACCCTGTCCTACCATCCGGTGCATCTTACAGCCATTAAGTTCTCCTTGAGGTTAGTGTTTGCATGATGGGATTGATGGTCATGGTGTCCCCCACCTGTAGAAGTCATCAGAAGCAATTGCTGATGTCTGGTAAATTCCTTTATGACAGAAATATGCTTGATCTTGACTTTAAGGAGGTGTTTTTGAGGTCCAATAGATGCTTTTTATTGTAGGTATCATTAATGGTAAAGCAGGTTGGGGGACTTGTCTGAAATGAGATGCTTATTCTCCAAACCCAAAAAAATGGGCTTAATATCTGAGGCTTTTATTCTTAATTGGAGGTTTAAAGAGATCTGCTTTGGTTACTGCCAGAAAGGCTTTTAAATGTAGCTGTGAGAACTAAGCCATCACCAGTGAGTGGGATTGGGTCAGTTGAGGCTAAAAGACCGGACCCCCCCTCCCACAGTACATGGAGGTGGGCGTAAACCTTGGATCTCGGCTTGTTCCGTCTCCTGCTTTCTTCTTTCAGGGTCACAAAGGTGCCGTTTGGTCCAAAATGTTTGCATGTTCCCACAAGCAAGAACCGGCATTTAGAGGCTTGTTTGACTTAATGACACCGTGTCTCTGCGAGTAGGAGTCTGGTAGGTCTGGGGTTTTTGAAAGCCATAATTTCCACTGTTATTTTTTTCCTTTGGTCTCATGGAGGCGAGTGTTTCCACCATCAGCATCACGTTCAGGCAAGTCTGGCCTTCCAGTGTTCGGTCCTCGGGAAGGTAGGAGTTTACTGAAAGGTTTACCTGACGAGTGAGACCATTGTAGCTTGGTGAGTCATTGAATAGGGTTGTTTTTGTTCGGTTTCTGAAAACCCCATTAAACCTCGATGCCGTTCAGCTTTTATATGGAGTGAATTCTGTTCCATTATTGTTGCAAATGTAGAACACATTTTGTAGATGGAAATAAAGTAAATGCAATCCAGAGATGGAACTTAAAACAAAAAAAAGTTAAAATCAAAGTTTTCTATAACTTTGCTGTCTCCATTCATGTGTATATATATTAAAAATTCTTCCAGATAACATTTCAATAAAACGGCTCCCTCTTGACCAATAAAAATGATAACGTCCAGCATACTGGTGTAGATGTCACTTCTCTCTCCACTCCAGAGAAAAGCCTGCCCCCCAGAAGAGAAGTCAAGAGAATGTGATCTATAAAGCGAGATTCCAAAAATATGTGATCTGAAAAATATGGAAATTTAAAAGGAATTTATTTAGAAATGTGAAGAGAAATAAAATGGAAGCTTAAAATTGGATTAAAAAAAGGGTTAGCCCCAAAATCAATCAGCATGTAGAAAAAAATTATTCTGAGAAATTGTTTGCCTTACCCCTACTCTTGAGTAATCCCTTTAAATCTATTTAGAAAACATGGTTTTTCTTTTTCAAAATAATGGAACCAAATTCACTCCATAGTTTTTCTTTTCCCCTGAACATGGGTCTTTCTGCAAATGGAGATACGACAGTCAATTCTGTTGTGGATCTTGGCCCTGTTTCTGTAATTTCTTGACATCATTAAAGGGCTGGAGGTGGTAAATAAATTCCTGAGTGTGTTCATTGCTGCAATACAATCATTCCTACCATCAAAAGCCACAGCGGGTCTCCTGGCAGCAGTTACTGGATGGCTCTTGCATTTCTTTTGGGATTAAGCTCGGTATGCCATGGAGTACGGCGACCTTGGTCTCACCAACCCCTGTAGAGCATTTATGTCTTATTGATTAATTTGCTGAGTTTTACAGAACTAAGAGAAATTAAGTTCTTCACAATCATCATTGACTTTTCTAAAAAAGATCCTTTAGATGTGTAAAGCTGGTAGTTTGATGTTATTGGGGTATTTTATAACGCCAATTAAGGCTGTTTGAGTAATGGCAATGCTTATAAATCTGGTTGAGTAATGGTTGGGAACAAATTCTTTGCGCTGTTATTCATGTGGTCTATAAAGTGTTAGAAAAAGAAGGGGGGAAAACAACCATTTGTTTCCAAGTACTTCTGTTGTCCAACAAGACGATTAAAACCCCCAAATATTCAGATTTAAGTTTTATAGGTTGGCAAATCGAAGCCAGAACTCGCAGTTAAAGGCCCCCCCTAAAAAAAACGTGTAGAGACAAATGGATTTTATTAGAATCATTTCCCAAGGCGTCATTTTGAAAAAGCACTCTTAAGAAGTGGGTGAAAATGCTCGCGCTCATAAAGCTAATGTGTTTTTGGTAGGGCAGTAGTTGGGAATGGTTGAAACGACGTAAAAATGAAATGGCCCGGTTAAAAAGCCTTCAAATAGTTAACTGGAGAGTCAACCTCTTTAAATTAGACTAGGGATTAAAGGACAGATATGTGGGAGGTGTCTGTAGTCAACAAGTCATCTCTATATCTTGTATTTCAATGGTTGCAGGCAAGTCCAATCTTTTCCATTGAACCTGCACAGATTGGATTCGCCTGGTTCAGTGGGAACCCCCCCTCCCCAGTATCGGCACCGTTTTAAAGCTTGACAACTAGCTTTAAATGGTCCATCAGTAATCTTGTTGCCACCATCTACCATTTATTCCACTGTTGCAAAAAACATGCTCTGCAAGCAGAAATTGAAAGGAAATTTTTCGTTTTTTTGTCTAGTTTCTAGGTTGCAATTCATGTGTTTTTGTTGTTTTTGTTGAAGGTAAAATGATGTAGTTTTAGATGGATTATATGTGTTTATCCAACCCAGGGGTTCTCAAGTCCAGTCCTTAAGAGCTACCATCCTGCAACTTTTTGATGCGCCCCATTTTTAACACACCTGAATCAGATGAGTGGCTCGTTACCATGCCTCTGATGGGCTAAATGAGGAGATTGACCCATTTGATTCAGGTGTGCTGGAGAAAAGATGCATCTGAAAGTTTCAGGACGGTAGCTCTTGAGGATTGGACTTGAGCACCCCTAAACTATAAAATGTATATTGAACAGTTTTCCCTTCATTACTGATGAGTTGGTTATGTTTTTGCTCAATAAATTGGTTAACAATCATTTGAATAATCAATCAGATGGCTGCAGACTTAACTGGGATGCTAATCCTCAGGAAAGTCTCTCCTGAGGGTTTTAGATGATCTCTGCTTTGACCTTCAGGCCTCTGAGGCCCCTGATAGCTGCTGAACGGTTGCTGTATTCATTTGACCCGGGTTTGCTGGGGCAGCAATGTTTAAAACCTCAGACACTGATCCACCTGTGGCCTCATGAAGACTGACGGAGGGAAAAACAGGACAGAAGAATCTTCAGTCAGTTGGTCCGGTTTACTTTGACATTTTCAAGCTTTTCTTTTCCCCTTTTTACTGAAATGCTCAGCATTTATGTCACCACCATCACCACCCCCAGAGCTAAGATGAACTAGGCTGACCATTTAGTATCTGGAATGAGTTCATTGTGGCTCCATAAGGTGAACTCTAGTATGGTTAGTATTTCAGCTTAGGTGTGAAGGCACAGTAAAGACCTGAACACTATGTGGGAAACGTGGGTTTTTAGAGGATTGAACCAGTTCACGTCAATGAGCAACATTTCACAAGACGCCTCTGATTACAGCTTTAAAAAAACAAGACCTACACTTCAGTTTTATATAAGCTTCACGGTCAGCTTGGACCCAATTAACACCTTCCTTTCCGTTACCGGATGGGAGGTGGATTTGCTGAGACAAATCTGTAGTTGGAGTCCATGTGAATTTAGATCTAGCAGACAAGCACTCACCAAACACCTTAAATGTTTGGAAATTGGAAGGACAATGCATTCGACTCGTTTTTTTTCTTCTGTTAAAACTAGTGACTGACAGTGATTGGTGAGTAATGAACTTAAAAAAGCAGGTAGAACTTATTTTTGAGATTCTGGATTGCAAAATTAAAGCAGATTATTTTCTTTGACCCTGTAATGCCAAATGTATCATATTTGATACATACGGTTTCTGAAATGTTTTGCGTCTGACACCGTTTGTATAATTTAATGGTAAAAATTTTGCTCAAAATCCTATTGTACATAATCAGATTACCTGATAACAGAGGGCAGAAGACTACACAAAACATAATCTTGACTTATCGTATAGTAATTATCAAGAATGTATTTCTGTTTTTTCTTTTTACATTTTTTGTTAAAAGGCCAAATAAGGACTTAAAACCACAAAAAAATTTCTGCTTTGTTTTATTCGTGGATCGGGCTTTAAAGGGTTAAAACTTCCATTTAGAAAACATGTTTTTTGCTTGCAACAATACTGGAAGAAATTTACTCCGTATTTTCTCAAAACAGTCAGAAAATATCTGTTTAAACATGCCATTAGATGTTTTAGTGAAACAATTCACACCTTTTTATAAGGTTTTGTAGTTGTGATGACTAGAGATTTAGCTAAACTGATTTTGTATTCAAAGCTTTATACATTTTACTTTTAAATGCAACTTTAGGGGGAATAAAGTATGCTTCCAGCAACTATTCTTGGACCATTGGAAAGATTTAATTTATGTAAATGAGGAGTGCCAGGGTCTATGGTTGCCATGCTTTGTTCAAAACCCTTTGACTTATACTGGTGTTCTATCTTCTGCTCCCACAGATATAATTTTTTTTTTTTTAGTGCTTCTGGTTCTTCGACACCATGAGTTGGAGCTTCCTGACGCGTCTGCTGGATGAGATCTCAAACCACTCCACCTTTGTGGGAAAGATCTGGCTGACTGTGCTCATCATTTTCCGCATCGTGCTGACGGCCGTCGGTGGCGAAACGATCTACTACGATGAGCAGAGTAAATTTGTGTGTAACACCCAACAGCCCGGATGTGAGAATGTGTGCTACGATGAGTTTGCTCCACTTTCGCATGTCAGATTCTGGATCTTTCAGGTAGGGTACCCAACATAAAGGAGTTCTTGTTGTTTTCAGTTGCCTCTGGTAACCTCTTCACAAACCTTTCTTTCAGGTTATAATGATCACCACCCCCACCATCATGTATCTTGGTTTTGCCATGCATAAGATAGCTCGCATGGACGACTCGGAGTACCGCCCGGTTCGCAACAGAAAGAAGAGGATGCCTATCGTCAGCCGTGGGGCAGTACGGGACTATGAGGAAGCAGAGGACAACGGGGAGGAGGATCCAATGATATCTGAGGAGATTGAACAGGACAAGCCAGAAAAAACTGAAAAAGGTAAGGCAGCAATGAATTGAGAATAAAGGCTAGCCTTCCTGCTATCCAAACATTATGAGGAAGGCGCCTACCCCTCTTGGAATCCTTTGATTGAGATTGGATGAATGGCTTGAAATTGTCTGTGTGGACAGAAAAGAGATTAACTTGCCATTTAAACCTTTTCTTTTTTTTTTCCTTTTGAAGGTACCGAAACAAAACACGATGGCCGACGACGGATTCTGCGTGATGGCTTAATGAAACTCTACGTTTGCCAACTCCTGTGGCGCTCTGCCTTTGAGATCGCATTCCTCTTTGGCCAATACGTCCTCTACGGTTTTGATGTAACCGCATCCTATGTCTGCTCTCGGCTTCCCTGCCCACATTCTGTGGACTGTTTCGTGTCCAGACCTACTGAGAAAACCATCTTCCTGCTGGTGATGTACGTCGTATCCTTACTCTGCCTGCTCCTCACCGTCCTCGAAATCATCCATTTGGGTATCGGCGGAATACGCGACACCTTCCGCAGGCGTGCCTTGCTCAACTCCCAGCGTCGGCCGCGTCCGCCCTCATCCCGCTCCCTGCCCACGGCTCCCCCAGGATACCACGCCACCATGAAGAAAGAAAAGCTGAGGGACTTGCCGATGGGCGATTCCGGGCGAGAGAGCTTTGGAGACGAGGGCCCTTCGTCCAGGGAACTGGAGCGGCTGAGAAGGCATCTGAAGATGGCGCAGCAGCATCTGGATCTTGCATACCAAGCAGATGAAGGAAGCCCCTCGCGCAGCAGCAGCCCGGAGGTAAACACAGCTGTACAGACAGCTGCTGAGCAGAACCGCCTCAACTTCGCACAGGAGAAGCAAGGAGAGTCTAGTGAGAAGGGTAAGGATAAAGTGGATAGATCAGTTAAAACTTGATGCGTTTGCTGAAACTTAAATACTAACCAATTCTGGTTTTGTCCCTTCAAGGAATACGTGCCTGAGCGTGCTTCCAGCCTCAGAAGTCTTGTCCTTCCATTCCTACTGGCCTTAAATGTTTGGGGGGGGCACACATGGGGACAGTCGGACCACTGAGGAAGACCAAAGCGTGTGTTGGTGTGTGAATGTGTCGGTGTGGATGAAAGAGTTGTGCCTTTCAGTATTGGTGGTCATTGCAAAGCAAAAGTGCTGCTGACTGAATTTGTGTGACACTAAACTTGAAAGCCTGCTACGTCTGGAGTTTTTCTTCTTGCCAAACCTAAACTGTGCCTTCAGTTAAGCCCAGATCTTTCAAATATCCTGTTTCTTTGTAACCATGCAATAGTCCTAATCCAGCTTACATTTTAAAAGCTCCATATTTATCTGGCTGAGCCAACAGTTTGCCTTTTTTGTGAATTGTGACTGAGTGTTGAGGCTTGTTCTATGATTTTTTAAAGAGCTTAGCCTCAGGGTATGTCAGTTGGACTTTGTGCATTGCTTTTATTTTTCCTGGCAAGGTTTGCTTAACCCATGCTGGCTAAGTCGACAGAACTGGGTACTGGGGTTCCTGAACCATAGAAATGTCCAATTGGCCAAATAATATACCTGGGCAATGCTTGAACCCTTAACTAATGGGAAATGTTTTGTTTTTTTCTTTTAAAATAAATATCATTTTACCAGCTTTCAGCTTCAGAAGTAGAATGTAGGAGAGTTCAGCCAATTAGTTCCAAGAAAGATGGGTTGTTTTCCCATTATCAGTTGCATCCTGAGAAGGAAAATGGACTAAAGCCATGCAAACATGTTTAGGTCATTAGAATACTGATCTGTAACTTCAGAATTCAAACCTTTCCATAGCTTTCTATTTACTTTTACTTGTGGCTGCAGACAAGACCACTCCTGTATCATCTCACTTGCAGTTTTTGCTACGGACATCATTCCGGTATATGGTACTCCTTAAATGGCTACTTTGTTTTTTTTTTTTTTTTGTAGTTTTTTTTTTTGTAGTTTTTTTGTAACTAGAGATTATTTTGTCTTCAGAGTAAATAAATATATTTGATTCCAACATCTTGTTTGTTTTTTTTTGTTTTTTTTTCCTGCTCATAAACTGATGGATAATGACTAAGCTCCCTTCTCAAAGGCTTCTCTATGCACTGGATTGCTGATTGCCTGAAAATGACACGCCATACAAATGCCTTCATGTGTAGCATTTGGCTGCAAAAAACAGTGCGCTGTCCATAGGAAGACATTCCACATTTAATTTCACATCCACTTGATGTACTAACCAAGAAAATCAATATGTACGCCAATGTATTCTATAGCATATTATGTAGCGTAATATTCTGGCTATCTTGGACTGAATCGAAGATATTGACTAAATTAGCCATAGACATTGTGTCTAATGTAAGAAAATGGTACAGTAAATGAAAAGTAATTCACTGTGAAATGTTAATGTAGTAATTAAGCAGATGCTATAGTTTTTTTTTATATATAGCTAGCATGCATTATCAGACATGTAAAATGTAATTACTGTAACTGTAATAAATTAATGTATATTACATGTACTGTATATCAGTTTAGCACTTTTGGTAAATCTGTATTCTTTAACATAATTTAATTATTTTGTATAGTGTTACATGATTTTGACTTTATACTAACTATGCTATGTGATGTGCCTATTTTATAAGTTAAAGTAATCTGCTTATGATGTGATGAATTTCTTTTATTTTGAAAGTCTTAAGCCCCCCTGAAAATAAGAACATCATGCTGTAGCGCACGTATTGTTTACATTGCGACCGTTCTAACTAGGGAGTACCAATATGGCGGCCAGTGGCTTCACTTCAACCCCGTACTACCAACAGGCAATCAGCAATCCAGTAAATAGAGATCAGTGGTTTGGACCAACAAAAATCTGTTTTTTTTATTTTGTATTTTTTAAGGTATTTGATGTGTTGCAAGGATTAGCCTACATTGCCATCTACTGGGAATATTTATTTTTTTCCCCCTTTTTCAGTGCTCTTTGTGTATAATGCAACAGCGGCTAACTACTTGCATAGTCTATTTTTTAGAAATCCCTCAGACTGAGAATGCATGTAATGGTAAGAAAAACAGTAAATCATGCAAAATTGGATAGGGAAAAGTGGTCTCCATATCCTCCAACAGTTTAAACCTATAGCAGCATAATTGGAAATGTGCTTGGGTGCTCCTGAGCTAACAATATTTTAAGAACCACTAAATAATACTGAAAAAAGTGCTTTGTAGGCAAAAAAATAAAATTAGGCATGTCTTTTGATGAAACTTGATTAAAACTCTTTTGTGTGAAAGTTTGACATTCATTTCAGAATTGTAAAGTGGACAATGGGATTTAGATGGGGTTGTTTTATTTTTTGCTATAGTTAAGTCAATTATTCAGCTTTAAAAACCATAGGTTGGGTAAGTTTGAAAAGCAGTGACTTATGAACTTTTAATTTAAGAACAAATAATTACTATCAAATCCATTAAATGCAACTGCCTTATTAAAAGTAGGATCATAGATAAATTGCTGGAATGGGTTTGAATATTTCTAAAACTAAAACTTTTATGAAAAGAAAAAAAGGGTAACTACATATTTGTGTTTGCAATTTCAAGTTAAAATCAATCTTACCAATCTTAGAACCTTGAGCAATACACATTTTAATGGAATTCTTTTTGCCAGCCGTGTGCACAGATTGTCATACTGTCATAAGCAATAGAGCAACAGTTTACAATATTCTCAGTGTTGAGTGAGCTCATAGCCAGCAGTCACTAAGCCAAGAACCACTTCAAAATGTGTTACTTCAATGGACTATACAGTGGTATGCAAACTTTTGGGCACCCCTATTGATCTTTATTTTTATTTCTAAATATTTGGGTGTTTGCAAAAACTATTTCAATTTGATATATCTAATAACTGATGGACACGGTAATATTTCAGTATTGAATTGAGGTCTATTGGACTAACAGAAAATGTGTGGTAAGCATTAAAACTAGATTTGACAGGTGCAAAAATGTTGTTACCCTAATCATTTTATTGATTTGAATACCTTTAACTGCTTTTCACCGACTTACGGTTTTGTAACTTCATTAAGATTTTAACTTTATAGCCGCATCATCTTGACGCAGATGGTGTCACTGTGTATCGTTCATCAATTCAGCGCACTTTGCACCAGGAGAAGCTGTATGGAAGAGTGATACGACAGAATCGCTTGAGGTATGCAAAAGCACATTTGGACAAGCCAGCGTCATTTTGGAATAAGGTCCTGTGAACTGATGAAACAAAGATTGAGTTGTTTGGTCATAAAAAAGGCGTAATGCATGACGGCAAAAAACACCTGCTACCCACTGTAAAATTTGGTAGAGGTTCCATCATGCTTTGGGGCTGTGTTGCCAATGCTGGCACCTGGAACCTTGTTAGTTAAGGGTCGCATAGGAACAATGTTCTGGAATGACCATCCCTATCCCCACACCTGAATATCATTAAACATCTGTGGGATGATTTGACGCAGGCTGTCCATGCTCAGCGACCATCAAACTTAACTGAACTGGAATTGTTTTGCAAAGAAGAATGGTCAAAAATCCCTTCATCCAAGATCCAGGAGCTCATTAAAAGGTACAGGACGTGACTAGAGGCTGTTGTTTTGTAAAAGGAGGATCTACTAAACATGTCTCTTTTTTGCTGAGGTGCCAATATTTTTGTACCTGTCAAATTTTGTTTTAGTCTGTTAGTCCAATAAACAATTCAGTACTGAAATATTACTGTGTCCATCAGTTATTAGATATATCAAACTGAAATAGCTGTTGCAAACACCCAAACATTTAGAAAAAAAATAATGAAGATTATTAGGGGTACCCAGACTTTTTTATATGACTGTATATACAAATGTTGTAGAAAATAACAGTACTCAGACAAACAAATAATTTACTCATTTGTACTGTGAACTGCAGCCACTATAGAAAGAAGAAAAAAAGAGCCAGAAGAAAAATATGAGTTTTCTAAAAAACTTGGACCTTGTACTGTAATAAAAATTGCTATTAAAGCAACACAAAAGCATGAATAAATGCAGAAATATTCCATGGCTCACCAGATGATTACTAAATGCCTGTGAAATCAAAAACATAAAAGATTATTGAACGTTTCAAATTTTATTTTTAGAAAACAACTTAAAAAGCAGAATTTACCCATGATACGTAACTAAAACTAAGGTCTGGCAACAAAAATTGAGGAACATCAGACAACAGAATGAGGAGGGGATTTAAGAGTTAGGGCAATTTGACTCATGAAGATTTAAAAAAAATTAAGACAGTTTATTTGTATAGCACCAATTCACAACATATGCCATGCAAGCAGAGATACAAAGGCAACTGTGAACTAGCTCCACACCTGGCCCTGTCCCGGAAACACAGCCAGACAGACGAGCTCTGAGCCTGCTTCCATGTCAAAGGATGAAAGACAGCACATAGTTAGTCACAGATAGAGAAACAGGACTACACTGAAAAACAGGCAAAACACCAACATCTGTATACAAAGATGTTGATGGCTGCAGTACAAATGATATTTTTCTCCAGGATGAAGTCACAGCCAGGAACAGACCAGATGAAGCTATTATTAGAAAAAGCAGAGAGAGCATAATGTTAGAGATTAAACTAACAAATACTGCAGAATTGGAGAATAGAGATACAATCAAGAAGAATGGTGAAAAGGGGTCCCTATGTCCTCCAGCAGTTTAAGCCTATAGCAGCATAACTATATAGTTCAGGATAACCTGAACCACTCTAACTATAAGCGTTATCAAAAGGAAATTTTAAGCCTACCGTTAAAAGTAGACGGGGTAAAGCTGGTAGTTGGAGCCTGATAACTAAAAGATCTGCCTCCCATTCTACTTTTAGAAATTCTAGGAACCACTAGTAAACCTGCAGATTGAGAGCAAAGTGCTCTGTTAGGAACATAAGGAACAATCAGATCTCTAATATCAGATGGAGCTTGGCCATTTAAGGCTTTATATGTGAGAAGGAGGATTTTAAATTCTATTCTGGATTTAACAGGAAGCCAATGAAGAGAAGCCAGGATAGGAGAGATATGATCTCTCTTTTTAATTATCATCAGAACTCTGGCTGCAGCATTTTGGATCAATTGAAGGCTTTTAACTACAGTTTGTGGACTTCCTGATAGTAAAGAATTACAATAGTCCAACCTTGAAGTAACAAATGCATAGACTAGTTTCTCAGCATCACTCTTGGACAGGAGATTTCTAATTTTTGCAATATTCCACAGATGAAAGAAGGAAATTCTAGAAACCTTTTTGATATGGGATTTAAATGACAGGTCCTGATCAAAAATAACACCAAGATTTTAACTGTATTATCTGAGATCCATTTAATCCCAACCAAATGAAGTGACTGACCAATCAGCTTCTTTTACAGAGACTTCGATCCAAAGACTATCACTTCTGTTTAGTGGGCATTTAGAAGCAGAAAGTTAAGGGTCACAAGTGTTTGTCTTCAAGGCATGCCTGTAGTCTATATATATATATATATATATATATATATATATATATATATATATATATATATATATATATATATATATATATATATATATATATATATATATATATATATATATATATATATATATATATATATATCCCTGTTATGATTTCCATTTTTTATGATTTATAATTATTATTTTGGTCAATTTTAATTTATTTTGCTGGCAGCTTTTATGGCAGTTTTTATGGGTAAAGGATCATCTTTGAATAGTAAAGAGAATTAGCACTAGCACTGATCCCTGTGGTACTCCACAGGTAACTCTGAAGCATGCGGAAGATGTATCATTAACGTGAACAAACTGATATCTGTCAGATGAATAAGATTCAATAGCAACTGGTGGAAAATAAATTATGGAGACAGTAAGAAATTATAGAAACAAAAAAAAACATTCGAAGACTGAAGTGAAATAGATATAACTGTAAAAATAATCATTAAAGAAATTACACAACGATTAACGGACATCTGGAATTTGTCCTTTCATTCAGGTAAGATTTCTAATGAAATAAAAACCCTGTAAATAAAACACTCTTTTTATTCGACAAAAGTAATAATAAAATGGAAAATGAGTTGAAAACCATAACCAACTTATTGAAAGCCAGCATTTATTACATAAATGTATTTATATATATGTATATATACATATATGGAGCAACACAAACTAAACATATTTCTAAAAAAACAAAAAACAAAAAAACCCGATAAACTTGAGTAAAACAAAGAAAAAATACATTTTATTTTATGTTTTATATTTTTGGGAGTAGTAACAGTTGGAAGAGCTGCATGCGAGCTGAAACTGCCGACACTTTTTGGTGAGCCGAACTAGTTCTCTAAAAATGATCTTATAAACTTCACCCCAAGAATAAAAAGAGCAGCTGGACCCATTGGTGGCATTGTGTAGGAATGATTGGTTTAACAAAGATGTAAACCAAATAAAAGGAGAATATAGATTCCAGGAGAAACAGAAACGATCACCATGGGACAAAATAGGGAGATTGTTGCAGAGTGCCTTGGTTTTCACTTGGAAGGCCAGGCCTTGAAGGCCAGGAGTGTCAAATAGTTCTGATTGTCTTCCTCTTGTAGATTTCTTTCCAGACAGTAGAATGGATAATAGTAGAAACTTTTGAGACCAAAGTCCACGACTCAATGCAGTATACTTGGTGTCTTTAGATAGAAAACATTTAACTAATCTTTCTAGATGATTTGGTTGAATTGACTCTTTGAACTTGATCCAACATTCTCTCAGCAATACCCCCCTGTCATTGTCAAATACAGGTGCACTGCTCTGGTATGATATTGGGCAGGGTTTCGTATTTGAACGAGTACCCGCCATCGGACGTGGTGGTGATCCTCAGTGACCTCATGGCCCCGGGGACTGGAGCGCAGCACTGAGCAATCCCTAACAGGGTGGCGGTCCGATCCGTGGCCGAGCAGTTCCCATGGCAGTAGTAGAAAGTCAACACCTTGGGATGAACGATCCAGCTGTCCCACCCCAGCTCCTCAAAGCTGATCTCAACCTCTTCCCTTCGGCAGTCATCATGATGGGGCCCCTCAAGTGAGGGCCGCTGGAGGAGGAGGAGGGCAGAGGGAGACCAAGGGATGGTGATGGGGGCCTCTCTAGGGGAACGAACAGGCGCTTTGGGATGAAGCAGGAGATGGAGAAAAGGTGTCTTATCTAGATCGTTAATGTGGTTCTGACAAGATGAACACTTGATCTGAAGCAGAAAAGGGCCCCCAGGTACAGCAGCAAGAACACTCTGTTCCAGATCAAAGGTGGTCCATCCGTCTGAGCTCCCCCTTGGAGGAGCCTGTGCTGCCTGAAGACGCTGCTGCTCTGAGGTGAGAATAAAAAGCATGGAAGAGGCGTTCACACCTTTCCCAACATAGAACCAGAAGTGGGCCGATGCGACTACGGTGTCCTGGAAGGAGGCAGAAGGCTGGAAGTGGTAGGATAAGGCACTGCTGGAGTCTTCTCTCATTTCAGCATCAGACATGGATGGATCTGCCAAAGTAGACAGGAGTCAAATGAGTTTACTGACCTCTAGTGGCGTAATGCAGCATTACACAGAGCGCATGTATGTCAGTACAGTGAGTTGAAAACCTTGAACACCTTGTTAAGGCTTTAATGTTTGATAAAAAGTAACTTCTACTCAAACACTATTAAACCCACCCATAATTATGAAGCAAGGTGGTGACAGCATTATGGTGTTGTTGTTTTTTTTTTCTCTGCAGCACTGGCAAAATCTCATAATTGAGTCTGTTGTGACTTTTATTAAAGGAAATCATGTCAGATTATACATACAGGCTCTAATATGTTATATTTACCTAAATAATTTCACTTTCTGTCTTTTGACTTAACAAGACCTATAAACCTCTAGCACGTCAGGATGGACCACAGCAGGTTCTCCTTACAGCTAAAAAACTTTATAGAGAGCTGCTACTTCAGAAAAGACGAGGGTTGAAGTATTTCAGGTGAAGATGAGGCTTTCAGAACTTAAAACATGAGACCCAGCTGTCAAGCACGGGGTGGATTCACCATGCTGTGGATCTGCTTTGCAGCCAGTCTTTATAAGAATTAGTTTATAAAGGTATGCTTTATTCTTTTGCACAATTATTTGAGGGTGGGTTTGCTTTACACTGAAAGAAAAAACAAGTTCAAATTAATTAATTAAAGCCAGATACTTGCTATTGATGTGCACAATGACAATTTGTTGACAATTTTATGCAAATTAATAGAAAAGCAGCATAACGTTCAATCTGCAAAGAAAGAAAAAGTGAAACTGTTTTACAAAATTGAGATAAGATAAATATTTCAAAAAAGTTAAAAGTTTAATTTCTGGATTTCTTTTTTTTTTCTATTACAGCGCAAACTTTTTTTTATTTCTTTGAAATGTCCATTTACAAATCTGTCCTTTTCTTTCAACAACAATGGAACAAAATGTACTGTTTGCTCTATAGGTTCCAGTCAAGTAGGACCTAAGTGCATAATCTATCCAGCATGCATCTCACAGGTGAAAAAATGATGACCTTCATGTTTGAGAAATGTAACAAATTATATCTAATTTCTCAGGTAATTGTGAGTTTTATGTATCAGAAACAGCATTTTTAGGTAAATAGGAAAACTGGAATATATTTAGACCAACATGTTCAACTACAGTACTTGTGGATCCCTTAAAAATTTAAATCTTTATGTAATTTATTGATTTTTTTTTCTTCTTTCTTGACATTTAAAGTTAAGTGCTTAAAGCAGCAAAGTGTGAATATAAAACAAACAAAACAGAGTCAGTTCTCACCTGGACTGGGAAACAGAATTAGTTCAGATGGATGGTGATGCAGACTGCTCTGAGGTCTGCTGGTCCGAGGGACCCTCGCCTGCCGGTGCCTCGCCTCCCGTCTTGTTCTTTCCTGATTTGGGCTGTGCTCGATGAATAAAGGAGGCTGTAAAAGCCCCAGGCCTTCCAGAACCCGCTCCCTGAACCAGGACACCACAACACCTCTGGGTAGCTTCTCTGTCCTGCAGATCTGAGTCAGACTTTGGATCCAGAGAGGACCCAGGATCAGGACAGCACAGGACACCATGACTCCACCACTTTACCAGACCTAGCAGTGCTCTCTCTGTGTGACTGTCTTTATTTATTCTGATGTTTGGGCTCTGCTGCTATCTGTGTTGAGGGAAGTCTGCAAGCTGATAGCGAAGAGCGACCTTGAGGAATGAGATGTTGGACTGTTGGGTGTTTTGTTTTTCTTTTATTTCATTTGACCAGTAAAGTAATTTCTGTGTTTCTTCAACTTTTACAGGACATCTATGCTCATCTTTATAAATAAAAAGCCTTATTGATCTTAATGAAGTTGCATAAAATGTGACTTTTATCCTGCAGGTTTTGGTTTCGTATCAGACAGAGAAATACAGAAAACAGACCTGCTTAAAGTGTAAACATCCCCTACAAGTATCCATAATCACTTTTTATTAGCTTATATTTTTAAATATAATGCAAAGGTCTTTAGTTTCATCCTTAGTTTGAAAAGAAAATCTGTTTCCTTTAGGTCTGGTTTAAGACACTGCTGTAAAAAAAAAGTTTTTGGAGTCTAAAGAGCAAGGTTAAATGTGACAGTTACATTTTAATGTTTATTTTAAACATAATTTTCACTAGGAATTGAAAAATATTTTATATTTAAGGTTTAAATATATGAAAATGTCAAAAATAAAAGAGTTGTGTAGAAAAATACCATAAAACAATATTGTAAAATAGCCTCCTCTGTGGTCAGAATTTATAATTACAGGATGCCTTTGACTTTTTAAAAATAGTGAGAATAAAAAGTGTATGATTATTTAATTGTATGTTGTTATTTTTTTAATGAAACAATTGCTAGGCCTTCTTTTTGCGTTGCACTCAGTTTGATAAGCTTAAACAACATTTTATGAAATGGCTTGACCGAATTCAGGAAAAATACATAGATTTTCTGAAAAAAACTGCAGTCTCTTTGAGATTAAATGGCACGTTCTTCATTTTATTATTTTTTTTAAATGGTTTTTAATTCGCTTTAACTTTGCTGAACAAGTGTAGCTTATGTTTGCCTGAGGATATTTATTCCCACATTGAAAAACCCTCCTAAATATAACTATTTAATCAGCACCTGTTCTTACACTAAATAATTATACATTCTTTTAGGTTCAGATTTCATTTTTGACTGCTTCCAACAACTCTCCCACCAGATGGCGCTGTTTTATTAGACTGAACATACAGTAACCCTTCTCCAGCTGTAATACATTTATGAATACTTATGCCAGCAAGTCTGACATATTTTAGGTAAATATTTGTTATTTAAGCTCTTTTTTAACAATAAAATAAAACAAAATCAAGGAAATATATGGAGATATATGAAGGTTTTGAAAGACTAAGCTGTTTAAAGTGAACATACTGTATTTCTGTCTAAACCCAAATCACCTGAAACTGTGACCCCAAAAATAGAATTACTCCAGTCATTATAACTTTATTTACTAAATGTAAACTTAATTAATCTTTAAATAAATGTATTTTTAAAAAAGACATTTAATTTCATTTATAATTTTAGATGTATTTTTAATTATATCATGAGACAATAAAGTGTTAAGCGGCACATTTTAATCGATGTTAGATCAGGAGTTCCCCAAGTGGGGATCAGGACCCCTGTGGGGTCGCAATACACCAAGCGAGGTTTTCTGAGCTGGTTTTCATAATAATAGTGATGGTTAATGTATATAGAGGGGCAAAATATACAGTGAAAACCATAAATATGAATATCTCATACGAAAATAAATGTACAATAAAATAAGTTTATTTATTTATCTATATTTAAAACAATTAAACTAGGGTTTCCAAAATATTTTTGGCTGTGAGAGGATGTCGGAGTACCTGGAAAGAACCCATGCCTGCACGGGGAGAACATGCAAACTCCGTGCAGAAAGACCCAGAACCCTCTTGCCGTAAGGCAACAGTGCTAAACCCGCGCCACAGTGCAGTCAGTCTAATCATCATTAAAAATAATAGTTAAAATATTATTTAACTCATGAATTTTATGGTACATTTCTTTACTTCATTGGACATTCACGTTTATGTGTTTTATGACATATTTTTTGCTCTCTTATGACATATTTTTGCCCCTTGTGAACATATCACAATGATAAAATGTAAAAATCATTTCACGCCTGCCCTTAGGAGGTCCAAAAACCTACTTTGGGATTCCTGCATTAAATATTAAAAAAACATTTAAAATCCATCCATCCATTATCTGACACGCTTGTCCCAATTGGGGTCGCGATGCCTATCTCCAGCTGTCTACGGGCGAGAGGCGGGGTACACCCTGGACAGGTCGCCAGGGCAACACAGAGACAAACAACCATTCACACACACACTCACACCTAAGGAGAATTTAGAGAAGCCAATCAACCTAACAGTCATGTTTTTGGACTGTGGGAGGAAGCCAGAGTACCCAGAGAGAACCCATGCATGCTCAGGGAGAACATGCAAACTCCATGCAGAAAGACCCACTGTGCAGCCCCTATTCTAAACTAAATATAATTAACCTTATAAATAAATAGATATTACATCTACAGTAGTTATTTAATGAAACAGTCAAATGTATGCATTTCATGAAATGTTTTGGCCATCTTTATACCTTAGGAATTACATTACAATGATTGTGAAAACTATCTTGTGACTCCCTCGTTTGGTATCAAGTGCACTCCAAGGGGTCCTGACCCCCACTTTAGGAACCCTTGGTCTGAAGGACCTGTGAGTTTACTGTTTTCTAATCTGCCAAATCAAAAAAAGGAAAAGAGAGAGAAAACTTACTTTTTCATTCAATATTTATTTTTTTTTCATTAAAATCCTTTCCCAACTTGAGAAATTACAAAAAGATTTTACCTCCGCCACAATCCACCCCTGTGGATTATGGCGGAGGTAAAAATTGCATAATCAAATATTCCTTGAAAGGTACAAACAGAGGTGCTATGTGAGCGTGTTAATATTGAAATTATTTAAAAAATCCAAAAGAGGCTCTTTTTTTCTGTTTACCCAATCAAAATAGGAAAACAGCAGACCTATAGAAGAATAGTGTCTGCTCAGATTAAAGCAAAAATGAACCCATTCAATAAATGGAGGAAAATATAACACTATGACCCCTTGACATGCTGTTCCTACAGAAAAACATGGAGGGGGAGGTATTATGGAACTGTGTTTTTTTTTTTCAAACTTTACTAATTAAAGATGTTGATCATAATCCAACAACTTATATCCCCACAAAATATATTAAAGTTTGTTCTTGGAGTCTGAATAAAATTGGAATAGTTACAGTACCTGCAAACACCAGCTTTACCAAAAGATCATGATTCATTTTCATATAAAAAAAGACAAAAATATTCTGTTAAAGAAGAATAAACTCTGTTTAGTTTCCCAAAGATACCAAAAAGTTATACCATTGCTCCTGTAGTATGAATCCCCAAGTCCTCTTTTTATTCTTAGCTTTTCTTTTTATAGACGCTCCAACTGTCCCTCTTCAACAGTCTCCGCCTTCCACACACACAGTCCCCACATGTACTGTATATTGGCTGATAGTATTATCTAAAGGGCTTGAAAGTGTGTGTGTGTGTAAGAGTGAGAGATTAGGTCATAAAAGGCAGTACAAGATATGTGACCTACGTGTGCAGCTGTCGTCCCTTATACCTGACCACTGGTGAAGCAGTAATACGGGATATTTAACTGATTAGAAACCTGAAAAGGTTAAAAGAGTCGCTTTTAAGAAGCGCTTGACTGTGGAGAGACATAAAACAGAAGGCCTGAGTGGGTTGACATTTAGGAAAATGACCTCACTCCCTTTCTGAGTTCTTCAGCAGGGTTAAAGCTGCTGCGGGGGACCATGGCAGTGGCTGCTAATTCTTCCTGATCTAGGGTGGACTTACACCTAAACGTCTGCACTTGCTCAAGGACAAATGATTTGAAATGAAATATTTGGCTCCATGGATCTTGTAACCTTAACTTGGACTTTGTGGGGATGTCCAGAGGAATTACTTACCGTTTCAGTAGCAAAACAAAGGTAAGGTTCACTTTTGATTACATAAAAGTAAAATATGCAAAGCCAATAACTTAAAATGGCAATATCTTCAATATCTAATTATCTAGATAGCATTTTTTTTTTCTCGTACCTTTCAATTTTGACACAACTATTCAAAGGTTAAACAAACATGGACAATAAAGTTTGCACCGTCAGTGTAAAATAAATGGGTTTTCTAATTCTGTCTGGCAAAACAAGTTTATGTTAAAGGTTAAAAGGTTGAACATCCAGCTGTCAGGTCTGGACACCACAGTCAGGTCTGGACACCACAGTCATGTCTATTAGCAGTTTGTCAAGAGCTCCTGTTAAATGATTTGAGATTGCTTGAAAAAAGGGGAATAAAGATTAGATGTCAGGTTGATGTAGAGACGCCCTCATTCCATCGTGAACAATTTCTGAATTCCCTACATAGTTTATGTGGAGATTTTCAGCGCTGTTATATCAGCAAGGTGGCTAATGATGCTTTCACAACCAACACGAAACCTGCAAAGATGGCAACTTTGACGCCGGACATTTTACCATTTATTCACATGATTGACAACAATTGGCACAGTGGGTGAAGGCTCCAGTACAATCTGTTGGTTGTCAGTTTCACCTCAACGTGGTGGACATGGATATTAGGAAGCAAGTCAAATCTGAACAAAGCTGCCCCATCGAGCAAAAATTGGTTTAAAAGGCATTGAAAAGACGACTTGATTTACCTCAAAACAACGTCTACCTTTGGTTGAAAAGGTGAAAAGCTGTAATTTAAGTCTCATTGAAAAGAGGGTTTGAAACGTCTCTTCCACGTCCTTTACTGGACTAGAGTGGGACAAAATTAGACCGCCAAAACAAGGCCTAATTTTCAACAAATATTTCTGGACTAATCCAAACTATGACAGACCCCCACCAGATTTAGCCAAAAAGAACATAATCTAAATGAGGTCTGGTGTTTGGGACGGAGATGAAACAGCAGATCCTACAGATATCCTGCCAGTTTAGAGAGTACAGGAGTCATGGCTGGATAATGGCCTCTTTCTGCAGAACTTAACGTAATGTGAGACAGCATTCTGGAGCTCAAGAGAAGAGCAGTAGAGCAATCAGAGGAAAAAAACTTGCAGAGAAAGCAACAATACTGGGATTAGACAGCTGGCAGTTGCCCCCTATGTAGCTAAGAAACCACAGCGGGAGATCAGAGAAGAGAGGAGCGGCAATGGCTCGCCTGGCAAACAGAGCACTAGAGGCCATTGAGGATGTTCAGTTTCTGCACTGGAGCTAATGGAGGAAAACAAATGATTAATGATCTAACAGTCCTTAAAGGGCTAAGTAAAAACAACTTCTTTTAAAGTCTCCAACAAACCTCCTCCAGAACATTCCTTACTTCATCTTCTGTCAACATTATTTCCTTGATCTTCCATTTTGATGGAAAAGCTTGGCTGTGTCCGAATGTGTGTCCCAACCCCTACATAAGGCACTACGTAGTGGTTACGGCATTTTATGACGGTCCGAATGTCTAGTGGATGAAAAAGTAGTGGATTCAAAGTTTCCCACCTTGCACTTGGAAAGTAATGTACATCAATGGTCACTAGAAGAGCGGATATATACCTGAATTTTGCAATTTTGCAAAAGCTCTCCTTGCAAAGCATTATGGGATTTGTTTTGGGGGCAAGAAAGAACAAAGATGATGCAGGGAGCCAGAATCATGTGAACATAGGGGAGTAAAAAGTAGTGATCCTCTGTCCGAAAGTTCAGTTAACTGAGTTCACTATAAAGTCCCTTAAATAGTCCCCAATCTGAATGATTGAGGGATTGGGGTAGATGTTTGGACACGGTTCTCGTCTTTTCTATGCTCATTCTCCTTTAGTCACAGCCTGATTGGTTATCACAACAAAATTAGAGAAAAAAGTTCTGACCTTTCAACTCTTGGAGAACTTTACAGGTGCTGACGCGGTATTCACCAGAAACATGCTTTTCACCTCATTAAAATCAGAAGCCTCACTTCATCGCAGGACTCCTGAACCACCCTCTTAATAAGGATAACATTGAAATCCTTCACTCTGAGTCCGAAATTTGTATTTGTTCTGAGGCACCTTATCAGTTGCAAGTTGGTCATTTTATCCCTGTTGTATGTGTATAATTAAAAAGATATTATAATAAAAAATACCAAATTAATGTCCCTGTTTGCTAACCTGTTAACATTAGCAGTAGAACTGCCCTATTTTTGAGTATGGCCACTGCAGCCACTGTTACAACCATAAGAACGACAAAAACTACTTTGTGGTATTTTGCGCAAATAAACAGTGTTGAAATATATCAACTTATGAATCTAAAAGGTAGTATTTAATGACTTACTTAATGTTGCATCATAAAAAACTGCTACAAACAAGTAGGAAGCAGGGAAATTTGAATTAGTGTTGATGCGAGTAGCATCCATATTGAATACAGAAGTTTTATATAGTCATGTTGCTCAAACTTAGTTGGGCTTTCCAGTGGAAATCTGAGAGATTGTAAATTCCAACTTTTTGGTACGCATGGAACACACCATTAATGCATGTACAATACTTAAAGCTTCTTGTTTGCTAGAATTATCTTAAAGATGTTAGATATCTTGATAGCAAGTTGGCTAGTGTTAGCCAATAATATTTTGGAATGGAAGGTAAATGTAAAATATCAGAGGAAATATGTAATGAATTTGTCAAAAAATACACAATCAATTTAAAATGGGGTTATCTAGTTCCCAAAATACCAGTAAAGTCGTTTTTTTCTTCATGTGTAGGCAAACAGCTCTTGTATGAAGAGTAGCACATGTTACATCTAATAATACCCATGGGTTGGGTAAGTAGTCAATATGACTTCCTGGTTACTGATGTCTGTCTATCAGTCTAGTCTCCATTCTTACCCCTTGGTGTTTTGGCCAGTCGTTGGTTCTTATCTCAGGTGTTTTGGATTTTAGCTAAGATTTGCACCAAACCTTTTGCATAAATACTTACTGGTGCAAACCTTCTGTTATACCACATCACAATGGTGCTCCTCAAAATTTCGATGAAATGAAAAAAACAAACCAAATGTACGTGGCTTATCATCAATTAACATGGTTGTATAAACAGAAGATAATAGCTACCAAACACATTCATTTGTAGTTTTCTATTTTATTTATTCTTTCCAGTATAAAACAACTTACAGCATGTTCTATCTGACCATTTACATAGTTCTTGGAGTTCTTGACTTCTTGATGAGTTTATCTTGTGTTATGTTTTCTGGTTTTCTTGCAGCTACCAGTGTGTTGGTCCAGGTCAAGCACCTTCTAAAGACATGCAGATATCACAACCAGTGGAGGTTTCTAGGAGGAACGCACAGTAAATATTGTTCATTTTAGGTCCTCAGGATAGAAGTCTTCAACAGACTTCAAAATGGCAGACCACTCACCTTTTAGGCCCCTCCCCTCCAACAATGCCAAGATCAAAGGTGCATCTGGTCTTCAGAATGATGAAGGTGAAACCCAAGGCTTGTCGGCTCCAGTTTTTACCCGTAAGCTCCGTAAAGCTGCAGTGGGAACGGGCTGTGATATCCGGCTGAGGGTGTCAGTGTCAGGAAATCCTAAACCTTTGATGACCTGGTACCACAACGAGAAGCTGATTCCCCCCTCAGAAGCTCAGGACTCAGGAGGACTCTGGATAAGGGACTGTCACACTAACAATGCTGGCCTGTATACCTGTGTGGCCTCCAATGAGCTGGGAGAGGCAAGCTGTAGTGCAGTACTGGCAGTTATGGACCTTGATGAAGGTAAACGCTTATTACTCTTTAACAAACAAAAGATTTTCAACTGTGATTTCTTTTTTATTTGAAACATAATCATAGTTCTTAAAAGCTGAGCCAAAGGAAAACAAGGTTCATTTGAAGACTGCTAGGACTTTAAGCTTCGGCATATGCAAACATATCTACGGAAATGCTTTGAATGAGCTAGTTGTTGTCATCAGACACTTAGACTTGTTTAAGAAAGAGTTCATCTTTCAGTTCCTTCACCTTAGCAGCGACTTTTGATCTCCATTTGTATTTATATAGCTGGGGGATTTTCGCCTTGAGTTTGCAATCAAAGCGATTTCAGGTTTCACCAATTTTCCAGTGAACTTTAGTGGTATTCCTGTACCTTAGAGATGGTTGAGAGAATCTAGGAAACATCTATTTTCGACTTAATTTCGAGTTAATTTCTTAACTAGACCATTGTAACCCATATAGGTCAGAATAAATGTATGTTTAAAATAGGGAACCTCGGCACCAGTCCCAAGTCTTTTATAACATTTGCAATGCTTTCTTCAGGATTGTACTTCATTAGGCTGTGTCTTTGCTGGAGAAAAGCTTTGCTATACTGTACCACAGTGCTTTCTTTGTCAGTGAGGATGGGGTCTTCTGGATGATGTATGGTGTTTATCTTCCTACAGACATTGTGTTTTCCATCAAGAACAAAAAGTTTACTTTTATTTATTCAAGGATTTGATAAAATTCATTCCATCCTGGTCTTGGTTGTTCCTGTGCCCCCTGTGTTTTATCTTCCATTTATCCGACTTCTGAAATTTGACGAGTTTATACATTCTGGATTACAGAAGGTTTAAGATGTTCTCCTTTTTAGAACCCTTAAGCAGGGCGTACACTGTGCGATTTTCCAGTTGTGCGAGAATCGCTCAGATGTAAAGAAGCATGGCGGGGGTGTGATGAGTGAAATGGCATTCTTTCTGCAAAATAGACAGACCGTAGTAGCCACGGTTGCTCAGCCATGTCTTTGTCCAAATACATCGTCGCCTTTTCTTTTTAGGGCTTTCAGCACAACATTGCACAAACTGCCAAGGCAGCACGTTTCCCTCTAGGGAGCTTAATATCCCCCTTCTATTTGTTTGGCTTCCGGATAGATGAGTCAGAGCAGCTTGAGTTCGTTGTGGTTGTGAGACGTACAGTGTGAGCAGGTAGATCGCATGAGAGTGTCGGGCTGAACATAAATCGTGAACTGTGAATTCATACTGCAGTAGCTGCGTGCAACGATTGAAAAAATCGCATAGTGTACGCCCTTTTATTGTGCATTTACCTCAAAAGCAAAAGCTAGGACAAAATATCACAAGCAATTGGCTTGTCAGATGACAAGCTCCAGCACGTCACAGGATCTGTTTGCCAGTTCCACCTCAATTTGGCAGACCTGGATTTACGGAGCGAGTTTCGGTGCATTATTCACTTTGGAAAGCTGACCAGGGGCCTAGATTCTTCAGGAACCAAGGCAGTTTGGAGAGTAGCACCACCTCCTCCAGGAGCTGTGTACATGTATGGATGACAGTCGTCCCACTGATTAGAAAGCTGAAACTATTCCACTTCAGGGAAGGATCAACCAGACAAGAAAGGTAACTAGGATGCATTCAGAGCATTCTGGATGTCAGAAAGGAGGAGGTGGACATTACGGCAAGAACCACTGCACAGAGCCTCAGACCACGACAGGGGCCATGCCTTGTTCTGGAGCTAACAGCAAGGAAGACCAGTGATGGGCAGTAGCGCCGCTACATGTAGCGAAGCTATTAGTTTAACTACATGTTCCAGTAGCTTGACCGTAGCGTCGCTGCTTTATTTATCAAGTAACTTTCCTGTAGTGACGTTATTGCTTTGATCAAGTAACGACGTGGCGTCCACAAACGCTACAAAATCCAGGGCATAACTAAGTAATGAAACCAGGTTTTCTATTTTGAAACAATAATCAGCCACAAAACTACTGTAAATAGCAGTTTCAGCTGACGCTCTTATAAGTGGCGTAGTAGCACAGGCACACTCAGTAGGGTTAAACAAGCGCACCCTTTCCGAGGCTGTCGTTCTATTGGCTGGAAAGGTTGCTAGGCGACGATCCAACTGCAGTGTGAGCAAAAAAAATCCGCAAGCAGTGCCTACGGGTTTGCGAGCGTAACTGAGACCCGAGCAGAGCGCGGTTTGTGCGCAAAGAGAAGGAGGCAAACAAGAGGAGAAAATATCTGTGCGAGAAGCATTAAATCTGAGAGAAGAAACAAAGATTTGAGAGAGAAGAGAAAATATTTGAGAGAGAGCGCATGTTTGGAGTGTGAGCATTATAAGTTTTGAGTGCAAGAAGATGAAATTCTTTTCTCAAATTGAAATTATGTGCTCTTGCATTATGGCAGGATAATTCTCCCATATGTGCCACTAAGATACTCTAATTAGAGAGCAGTAGTGAAACTTCGATATTGTATTTTCATGGCCTAGTTTACCTGACATGATGTTTACATAAATCTGTTTTTAGGCTTTGCACAGATAAGATTTTTTACGTATGGAGGAGCAGCTCTCCCGTATATAAAATAAATACATAAATAACTAAATGCTCAATAAATAAATAAATAAATAAATAAATAAGCATTTAATTAATTGCCCCCAAAAATACAATGAATAAATATGTAGGTAGAAATTAAATTATATGGTGAGACATAAATATATATATATATATATATATATATATATATATATATATATATATATATATATATATATATATATATAATAGATAATCACTTAATTAGCTTCTTTTTTTTTCACCTTTTTTGTAAACAGTTTCATTTGTTACTTGAATCGACTGTTTAATTGAGGTCTGAAGAAGTTTTCTCTAAGGGAAACCCTAAAGAAATAAGATGCCTTTTGTAGGGTTTTGTTTTCCCTATAGATGTCCATTGAATGCAAACTCATAGCCATGTCTCGATGTGTAGAACACTACACAGTACCTTTAATTTGGTTCTAATAACAGCAGATTGTTTACTAGTTTGTCTACTAGTAATTACTTCAGTTTTTTTTTAATATGCTGATCATAAAGCAATGTTTACACTGTGATATGTCATTGGCTGATCTTTAATAAATGTTTTAACCAGTGTTTCAGACTCATTTTGAATTGATATTATCTTGGTACAACGTTAAGTAGCTTCTGATGTAGTTAAGCTACTTTTAACACATTAGTGTAACTTAGCTTGCTATAATTCTTTAGGTGGTAGCTTTGGTGTAGTGAAGCTTCATTTATTGCTGAGTAACTGATAGCTTAGCTCATTACACTGAACAAGTAGCTTGTCCAACACTGAGGAAGACAGTTGAAGATCGGAGAAATCTGCTAGACGGGGGAGAGGCAGCAGCTTGCCAGAGCTAGCTCTAGAGGCCAAAAGCAGGAGATTGAAGAAGTCCAACGGGCAAGGAGCCTTGCTGGGCCAGTTTCTACACTGGAGCTAATGCAGGACGACCAGTGCTGAATAATTAACCAGTCCTTCTTGGACTAAATTTCAACAGCTGTTTTGATAGCCACCAATAGGCCTCTTACTGCACTCCTGTACCCTACTACACAGCCAAATCTTGTCCATAATTGGATGTTTCTACAAGAAAACACATAAATGTGCAGATTTTTCAACTTGATGCCACAACTGTGATTGTCGCTTCACATCCATCGTCATGTTCCTTACTGTAATTGGGTATAAACATGGTTGCGGTATTGTTAGAATTGTGTTCTTTACCTTGCAGCACTTGTAAGCCCCCCTCCATGTGGGGATAAAATGTAAATTGGTCGCTCAGGATCCCTCAGGTCACACAATCCAATTTTTTGTGAATGCAACTTTACATTTTGAAGGGGGAGAGAGGGGCTAAGGTTTTGAGGGTAAAACCTAAGCTTGTATTCCTTGATTCTGTCCTTGGAGAATCACTGTAACAGTCAGTATTGAGCCTGCAAACTGAACCGTGTAAAAATGAGAAAACTCAACTTTTTTGTTTGCTTAGATCAAGGTTATGAACTGTGACTCCTAAGCACGAACAGATTTTGACCTTGATCGTTATCTGATCCTCCTAGTTTTTGAGAATGTTCACCAATAAACTACAGTCATCACATGTGACATATGATGCTTTAAGGCAGTCATTCTCAACCTTGTTCCTCAGGGACCCTCTCCTGCATGTTTTAGGTGTTGGATCACAGCAGGAAAGAATGGATGATTAACAGGCTTCTGCAGCACTTGATTGCAGAGAAGGAATCTTCATTTGATTCAGGAGTGCTGCAATAGACACATACCTAAATCATGCAGGGAGGGTTTACTGAGGGTCACGGCTGGGAGCCACTGCTTTTAAGGATCTATATTTAATGCAGGATGATCCAGAATAGATAACATGAATGTTTGAGATGTTAAATTAAGCTGATCTAATTTTTTTCAGATACATTACCTTGTTTCAAGGAGTATGAAAAAATCTTAATTTTACAAAGAATGTAATAGCACACTTCTAGAATTTCGGGTCTGAGAAAGAAACTTTTAAATGAAAAAAAAAGGAAACCACCTGGAAAAGTTCAAACTGTTTAAACTAAACAGTTTTTAACTGGACCCTTGATTATAGCACCTTACACAACCTTCATTATTAGCTGCCATGATTAATGGAGGTGTAAAGAGTGGAGTTGCTATAAAGAAGGGGACATTTTGTGCCTCATATAGTAACCACATTTAAGGTTGTTCATACTAAACACCGGATATAGTTGATGTTATTATTGGACACACGAATACATGGATATTGTTAGAAGCTCCGCCAGTATGAACTGGCACATATGGTCCAGCAAGTCTATCAGTCTGCACTTCTGTCTTTCTCTCTCACCTCCTTAATTCTGATCTATTACCATTAATCACTCCTTCTTTTCTTTATTTAGCTTCCTTTTTTAACCACAAGCTTTCTCCAGTGTCAAGGCATGGATAAAGCCTTTACAAAACTCTCCTTTAAGGAGACGAAAGGAGCATTTA